TATCTAGCGGTAGCAGCTAGTAACAATATTAAACTACCTGCGTATAGCTCAAGCACAAGGTGAACACTAACAAACTAATCTACCATCTCAAAGATGACAAAGCAGGCGAGCGAAACAGGATTCATCATCAGCATGCATAATATGCGAGCAAAACAAAGATGAGATCCACTCAACAATGCAAACCGAAGATTTATTTTAGCCAAAATTTTCATCATATGCTTTGTCCCCGTCAAACCCATGTTTATGAGCAAGGATTCTGTATCTTATTTAGAGGTGAATTGAATTGTAATTTCCCAAGTTGTTCTCATTTAAACATATTCTGACAATCGAAGCACTCACCTAGACTGTCTCACAAGGAGACAAGTACGGTTATTTCAACAAGCAAACCCAACAGAGCACTCTCAAGATTGTCTCACTAAGAGATAAGTCTGACCGTTTCAGCAGGCAAGCCACACAGAGCACGCCCAACGCTTGTCTCACGAGGAGACTAATCTGGCATTTTCAACAGGCAAGCGAGACAAAAGCACTCCAAAGACTGGTCCCATGAGGAGACAAGTCTGAAATTCTCGTAGGCAAGCTAGACAAAAGCACTACCAAGACTTCTCCCACGAGGAGACAAGTCTGGGATTTTCAACAGGCAAGCCAGATAAAAGCACTCCCAAGACTTGCCCAAGGGGGAGACAAGTCTGGCTTTTTTAGCGGGTAAGCCAAGCAAAGCACTCCCAAGACTTGTCCCGCGAGGAGACAAGTCTGACATTTTCAGCAGGCATATGACTGGACTTACGACAGCAAAGCATTCAGATCAGTTGCAACAACATCTGCTCTGGTCTATTCAAACCATCACAAGCGAACATCCTATACTTCTAGTTCACGCAGATGAATTAAGATAAGCATAGTAGATTCCCTCAGTCCAATTTAGATCATTAACAAAATTTGAAAAAGATATGCATGTTGGTCAAACTAATCATAGCATTAATACGGCCTTACAAAATTCTAGTGAAATCGCATCCGCCTGCCTTAAAGTTGCCTGCCTGCAGGGTCCCGCCTAAACCCTGGTAAAGCTGCCACAATTGGTGGGTCAATCCCCCCACAAGACCTTGATCCGATCTTGCGGGTGCAATCCTACCTGCCGCCTTGCTCTCCCAAACCTTTAGATCGGACTGAGAATTAGAAGGGCAGAGAAAGGGGTATTAGTCTCTCAAAGTACAAGAAGGGGTCAGTCACACTCGGGCGTAGAGACCCTTGGTGCCTTCTGATTCTGAGGGCCCTGCAATGGCACCCGATCGCAGAACCGAAAACCACAAACCACGGTTGCCGCAACACTATCAAAATCCCAACACTACCGACAATCTCCGACCCACCGCTTGAACGGTTTGCACCCTCAGCAATAACCGTCGTCGATACCCAGCCTAACCCAGGTGACAACAGGCTCAACAGCAACATTGCTGGTCTAAGTAATTTGCAGCAATTACGGACCAACACCAACAATAATGTGACAATCACTAACACCAACCTGAAAGGTAGTAGTATTGGAACCTAACAACCATTTGTGACTCATAGGCTAACTGCACCACCCGCAACTTGAAAATGACCAGAGATGGTGGGAGTAGAAAAACAGCAACAGTTTGCGTTCGAAAATGGCTGCAGCATTCATATTAGCCGTAGCAACACAGTACCCCAGATTAAAAAAAAAACTGCAGCAATAACAACACCCAAGTGTTGTCGCAGCAACAACCTGTTGGTACAAATAACAGCAACACCAACTTCGACAATAGCACCACGAGCTCCAACCCTGCACTGTTTCAGGCATTTGTGACGTGACAAACCTCTGTCCCTACTTATGCTTAGTAGAGGTAAGTCAACCTCAACCGCCACCAACAATCTTTGCTGATAAATACGGGCAGTCCCAACCAGTTACCGCTTTACTTTTTTTTTTTTTTTTTTTTTTTTTTTGGTGGGGAGCAACACCTGCTGGAAATCGGGTCCAGCGTCCCATAGAGACAACCATATCCTCACAAATTGGCACGAACTGGGAACCGGGCCCAGCGTCCCATAACGAGTACCTTCAGAAAACTCGTCAAAAAAATTCCATGAATTGAGGCTAGAAACCTACTAGAAAATTCCAATTGGCCTAAGAATAGAAATTGAGAATTGAGATACCGGGGCCATCACCCGGCTTTGACTCAGCGAATTAGAGCTACTTCAGACATGCCTATGACAACTTCATGATTCAGAAATGACTCAGAAGAACCCCCATCAATCCACTTTACCTCCCTTCGGCAAGACTGACTGCACGGAGCCACCATCTCTGCTGCTGCTATACCATATTCCCATCCTACCAGCTAGCCCCCTCACTGGTAGGACGCATGATAACCCACCATCTTCTCCCACTCTCCTTATTCTCTTCTTGTGTCATTACCATTTTTTACAGGGTTAGGCAAAATTCAGAAAACAACTCAGAAACCCCCCTTCAATCCTCTTTACCTCCCTCCGGCCAGACTTACTGCAGCGGAGCCACCATCTCCACTGCTGTTGTACCCTATTTCCATCCTATGAGCTAACCCCCTCACTAGGAGGACGCTTGATATCCAACCATTTACCTATCCCGCTCACCCCTTTTCTGAGAAGTTCACATCAATCGACTTTTTTTGAATTTGAACGAATTTTGAAAGATTTAGATCCGGGGCGAAGAAGAATTTAATATACTAAGACAATCACTACAGAAGCTTCCAATTAGGCAAAGTTCGAAGACCAACTCAGAAACCCCCCATCATCCTCTTTGTCTTACTTCGGCAAGACTTACTGCAGCAGAGCCACCATCTTCACTGCTGTTGTACCCTATTTCCATCCTACCAGCTAGGCCCCTCACTAGTAGGACGCTTCGTATCCATCCATCTATTCATCCCACTCAACCTCCCACTCAACCTCTCTTTTTGAAAAAAGCCCCACAGAACAATCCTGCCTCCATCGTCGAAGGGAAGAAGCGCAGACTGAACCGGGTGAAGTTAGCAGCAAGTGGCCGGTACCTGCCGAAATTTCAGCGCCAATCGCATCGACTCCCAACTTCCTCCATCCCAATCCCCTCCGTCCTTCCCAACTCCGTCATCGTCATCGGGAAGAACTTCAGAGAACCTCTTCTCCGCGGGGACCGATCACCATCATCACCCTGACATTCTATGCCCCTATAAGCGTCCCAGTCTCCGTCATCGAGGTGGTGATCTAGCACAACCCAACGCCAATCGCACCAGAGTTCATTCTCATCAGTCGGTACCCATCAGCCAGAATAAACTACCTAACGCCAATCGCATCTGATAAGAGGCCCCTCTAGCCGGTACCCATCGGGCAGCCCTATTTCCTCCCCCTCTCCATCCTTGTAAAGAATCATTTGATGCCCCTGGCCCCGTACTTCAAAGCAGGTCCCCAAAAGCTCCACAAGCTGTCCCGTTAGGGGTTTTTTGTTTTTTTTTTGGGGGGAGAAATTTTAAGATGTCGGAGCCAGTACCCGGCCATAGCTACAAAGCAACTTCTGAACAGTCCTCTGGCAAACCTTCTGACGAAGGATAGAACAAAAATGAAAAACTAGCAAGCCCTGAGACAGACGACCTGAAAAAATCCCACCTCCATCATCGAAGAGAAATCCCAACTCCGTCCTCGTAAGGAGCCCAGGGAATAGCTTATCTCTGCAGGGGGCAGGCACCATAACCACCCTGAAACTCCTTGCCCCCACAGGAGTTCCAATCTCCGTCATCAAGGAAGTGAACAACGCTGGCCTACGCCAGTCGCACTAAAGGTCGCCCTCAACAGCCGGTACCCATTGGACAACCAACTACCCAACGCCAATCGCATCTGTTAAGGGCTCCCCCTAACCGGAACTCGTTGAACAACCCTATTCTATCCCCTCTCTATCCTTGCAAAGAGTCCTTTGATGCCTTCCACCCCCTACTTCGAAACAAGAACCCCAGACCCTACGAGATATTCCATTTGACCATCTCCTGAGCCCTTTGATCAAAATTCTAAGGAACCATTGAAAAAAGTTCCGGGACTAATTACTGAGAAAAAACTAATCACCATTAAAATCAAAAAAGAAAATCGCTCAGACTACTAATAAGATTGGGAAAAGAAAATCTTCAGATCAAATATAGATTGGGTGCCTTGAAGAATCCAAATAGGAAAAAACACAATAGAGAAACGATTTTGATGTCCATTCGGACTTTCGACTCTGTTTTCCGGAACATGAAGTTCAAAAAAACACTCAGACCGTAGATCAGGAAGATACTAATCAGAAAAACGCTCAGACCGTGGATCAGGAGGTTGCTAAACAAAGGGTAAACCAATGGCACCGATATTGGATCATCATCATTTGGATGAATTGACTTAGAGTGATCCGACAAGCAATACAAATTCAAGAATTCTAAATCCAGAAGAAGAGATAAGAACTACAAGTTCAGCAATAATAGTTGTAGGTGCGTAGCAAATCAGACAAATATCGAACCAGACAAACACCGTCTAAGATTCTCGTCATTAAGAATCCATCAAAGCCAAAATGAAGAGGAAAACCAACTTACCCTTGATAACCCTAAATACACCCCCCCTCTCTCCAAACCTCACCTCCTCGCTTCATCGGCTTCTCAAGCAACTCGGCCGCCTGTGATTGACAACCATTCAACCAACCAAATACACCGAACGATGATGATATAGGACCATAGCTAGGATTGCCTTCGCAGCATACCAAACCACGTTGCGAGATTAATTGTTGAGCCCGCCAGCCGCCCCTCGCAGGTAGCCCGAAGAGATGAGGGGGTGTCCACATCGCGCATGTCATCCTCCGACTTCTTCCTAGTAACCCTCTCCCTCCATACCATGAAACCCTACTTGCCTCCCATTTCTCGCCCCACAGTATTCCTCCTCTCCACTAAGACCTCGATGTGAGATGCACTACTCGACGACGTCCAGACACACCGCATGATCCCTCTCCCACCACCCCCTCGCGTCAATCTTACCGTCGCAGCGCTCCCACCGCTCCTCGTTCCTGCCCTCTCCGCAAGGCCCGCCGTCTCGTCCGCCTGCCTCCTCCTCGCGTCAATCTTGCCATCGCAGTGCTCCCGCCGCTCCTCGTTCCGCCCTCTCCGCAAGGCCCGCCATCGCGTCCAAATGCCGGGCGGCGGAGCGCTCCCGGTAGCGCTCCGCCTGCTGGGAGCATGCTCAGACTCAAATCCCTCGTAGTAGAGGTAAGCCAACCCTAACTGCCACCGACAGCCTTCGCATAGTCAATACAGGCAATCTCAACAAGCTCTCACTTTACTGATCACCAACCACACGATCCCCCACACCCGTCCTCCTTATTATTGCACTCTTCTTGCCTCCTTTATTCCCTCACTAGAGATTCAATCTAGTCTTCGTTTTTCGCACAGGGCTTCTCTACTACATCGAGGTCAGGGTCATTTCCTCCTCAGGTTGGCCATTGAACAACTACAGTCCATAGCTTGGTCGCGAAATCAATTCTACAGCCCGATCCGGATAGAGTGTGCCTATGGAAGCAACAGGGTGCTGAGGTAACAGTCTCTATGCACGATACTCCACTGCTGCCTTTAGCGCATATAAGCATGGGCAGACACTCGCGGACATCTCTCTCCTCCCGTTCATTACACCACGACTACGGTTGCACCAGCCAGACCATTATGCCCGTAAGTGGGGGTTTGGCCATGGCCGAGAAATAAGACAACGTGAAAGCTTGGTAAACTTCAAACCAGCCACTTCAGATAAACAACCACACGAGACTGCAGAAGAAACGAATTAATTCACGGACAAATCAACTCACCAACTAAGAATGGTCATGGCAGTTGTCATGCATCGCTACTAGCGTACCAAGCAAGTTGGCCCATCGGCTTCTCTTCCCATAGTTATTCGCCTTCCCCCCCTGCGACCACCCTTCTGTTCCTCTACCTCTTTCCTCTCTCTTCTGACTCCCAATACCATGCTTTGAACGCGACAATAGAATAACCGGTGTGTAAAACCTCGAATCTGGTTCCTTCCTCGATCAGAATGGTCGAGGACTGAGCGCAAGACCTCCATGCGATTGGCGCTGAGTATCTCGGCGGGTACCGGCCACTGGCCACTAACTCCACCTGGATCAGCTTGAGGTTCTTCTTTTCGATGATGGAGGCAAGATTGTTCTGCGTGTCTATCTCACGGGTTACATGTTTTTCTGATTTTGACCTAACCCCTTTTGGGGGAATTTTGCATGAGTAATTCCTTCCCATTTTTCTGAATCACATCGTGTACTTGAACTGTTCTCAGCCATAGTCGGGTAATGGCCCCGGTATCTCAAATGATCTCAAATGTTCTAAAAAAAAGTTTGGTGCTGGTTGCAGTGGGTTGTGTTGGTTGTGACGGTTGGAAATAATGTGCTCTGCGCTGAGTGTGCGGCGAAGGGGCTAGCCTATAGGGTGGAAATAGGGCGCAGCGGCAGTGGAGATGGTGGCTCTACCGCGGTAAGTCTTGCCGGAGTAGGGTTGAGAAGGAATATTGTCGATTGATGCAACCAGTGCCTGGAGGAGCTGGATGATCAGAACTACATATGGTAATGATTGGGGCTTAGTTGCTATCTGCTGATGTCACTGGTCTCGGTGGTTTGCGAACGGATGCAGGGGTTTGGTCGCGCCGCCCTGTAACTCGAGCTGCATGGGGGTATGAGACCTGGTAGAGAGATCTGGGGAGTTGTTGAGGGTGGAAGGCACTCTAGTGTTTATTGGCGAGCTGGTACTCAGTCGACGCTGGCCGGAGCTGGGGCGGGTCGCTTTGCCCTGTAGCCCAGCAGGTGGGGGGTTTCTGGGGTGGGTCGTGCCACTCTGTAACCTAGCAGTTGGGTGTGTGAGGCCTTGTGGAGATTGAGTATTGGGATATGGGGGGGAGGCAGATAGGGTTGGGTTGCTGAAAGCACTATGGCAGGTGGTTTTTTCGATCTGAATGTTCGTATGATCCAAGCCTCCAAGGTTTGTTGGTTTGTTCGTGGTTGCCAATGGGGGTCTTAAGAATGATTTAAGATTCTAGGGACTCCTAGCAACTCATCTTAGACAGCTCCATTGCTAATATACTTAAGTGATCTGCGGCTGTTCGATGCCAGAACGATGCTGGCAAGTGTTGCGGTGTTGCCCTGTAACCTTCTGATGCAGGAGTGTGAGGCCTAGTAGAGAGATCTGGGGATGCTTTGGGGTGGGCATTCCAACGGACAACCAAGGGTTGCTGGTGGGACGACGTTGGCCGGAGCGGGGGCGAGTCGTGTTGCCCTGTAACCCAGCAGGCTGGGGGTGTGAGGCCTGGAAGAGCTCGGCAGAGAGTAAGACAGTGTTGGAGATATTAAGAAGGGTTGCTAGGGATCAACAGGGTTTTGAGCATTTGTAGGACTTTTGTGGTGGCGTGTTTTGTTGCGGGCAGACCTGTTTCTGTGTTTTGTCGTAATAATTTTCTAAGTAGTTCAAATCTCAAAGTTCTCTTAGCCAAAGCCAGGTAATGGCCTCGGTATCTCAAATTTTCAAAATTCGATATAAATTTCCATATGGGACGTTGGGCCCGGTTCCCAGCACGTGCTGCTCCCCATGAATAGATTGGAGCCTTGTCCCAAAGAACCAGATACAGGTTTGCGGTCGTCTGTGACCTGTTTTCTCGCTACAGCATCCAACCTGCACTTACGTGCCTACTGACTATGATCGGGTAAGTACCACCCTTCTTGAACCTCCTCACTCCTTGATCCTCACCCCTTCCCACTTCTCTACCTCCAATCCTACGTTCTTCGTCCAACCCGCTAAATAAGTTGCTAGCTGGATCTCTTTGATCATTTGCGTGTCACCATCAAATCGAGAAACATCACCGAAATGAGTCGACCAACAAAGATCTCTAAGGTGGTAGTGATTTTGAATTGGGGGAGCAGGCTAGCAGCGACGACCACGGGTATCAATGAGATGACAACGATCTATAGCAGGGTGGCCGCAATCTTCCAAGCACTAAGGACGACCATGGGTTTGAAGCCATGGAATGAGAAAAACGCATTCGGCGACAACCACAAGCTCCATTACAGACTTAGTGCCATTTGATGAGTAACCAAAAATAAAGGAGAAGGATATAAGGAAAAGAACTTTTAAAAAGTGATAAAAACTAGAGTAATAGCAAGCACTAATTTTTTTTTACGATCCATTGGTTTATAGAAAATCCATGTTTTAGGTGTTTCAAAATACATGACTTTCACAAAACGTATATAATAAAAGGAACTAATAACGTTGGTTACTACTCCTATTAAGGCTAATAAATAAGCTCTGAAACCTCATGGGAGCCTGGATTAGGCATTAGCTTCTTATAGGCAGCAAATGCCACCAATCCATAGATTTATGCATTTCATGACACTGCTCAATAGGCCATTGGCCCAAAATTCTTCATAGCTAGCGCTCCTTAGGTTACGAATATCGGTGCACGTTAAAGTAGAGGCCTCAGAAGTCTAGCTAGTGCCTTGCTTAGTGTCATTCGTCGATCTGGTGAAATTAATTATGAAAATAATTTTTTTGTATACGTGATCCTATGGGCGGTCTTGCGTTTTCTTTTATTTACGTCGGCCTCTCACTCAACTCACTCACTCGAAGACTGGAACTTCCACCATTTACCAAATGACATTGTGCAAACGAGAATGAAACTTCCAGTAGAAAATAAGACGATACAACGTGCAAAACGTCCTTTCTCCACCTTGTCCTGCTTCCTGTCCTCTTCTTCACCGCCACCAATCTCGTCCTTCTCCAATCTTCTTCCTCAGTCTTGCTCTCATCTCATTTTCAATGCATCTAGTCGTCGTTCCTACCTGGGTTAATTCAACCTCGTTAACTCTCTTCTCTCTCGGTCTCACCTCCTATCTGCCCACGCCACTTCTCCCTTGCCCTTTGTGACCACGCCTTCTCCTGACTGTATCTAATCGCATCCCACGGTAAGGTACATCAGTTCGGAACTTGTCGAACCTCGGTAAAGACAATGACCATCATACCGAGAGCTATTGTGGCGACAAACACTGTAGAGAGCACTAGATAATGACGAGCACCGGGGTAAGGATGTAAAGTCTGTAGACTGCAACAAGCACGAGCAGGTATGACCACTAACACGAGGAACTTGGGTATGTCGTGATCACAAAGACGATATGAGCACGGGCCTAAAGAAGGTGACCAACGAATGCGCCGCACGATATCGACTTGGTGAGCAGGCTCCGCCCCACTGCTCACCAAATGTGCAAAATGACAATAAATTTTCCCCTAGGACATGGGAGGATACACCTGCCACATGATAAACTCCCAATGACCCAACCGATTGCCTCAGCCACAAGGAGGATGAACCTTTCTCTATAGCAAGGGTAGATACACTATGTGCTCTCGAGCAGAATATTGTGGCACTGAAAGAAGATGATGAGTACCACAATCATGGCACAATGAGCACAATTCGATGAGGAGCAGGACGGGTAGCACCTGGATTGCTACGAACGAGGTGAACGTGCCCTCCATGACAACAATGGTCGCCACCGGGATTGTGACGATGATCAACAACGGAACGAGGATGACGATGAGCAATACTTAAGTGATGATGACGACCGTGATGACCAGCGTCATCAGGACGACAATCACGCTGATGGGGGCACGCCCCACTACTCATCAAATGTGCAAATGAGAACGAATCTTCCCCTAGAAGCAGGGAAGATACACGACCAGACTACGATCAGGTAATCACGCAGCTTAGTACTGCAACTCGCCTTTCGATTCCTCCCCTACCGCCAACTCTCATTGGAAAATACTCTCTCCTTCTCTTTTGTTGTGCGCTGGTGCTTCTCTTGGAGAGTCCTTCCTACCCATCTTTTCCTGGTTTCTAACCTTCGTTCTCCCTTAGTTATCTTCCTCGCCACTTCTCTTCTCATCACGTTGTCTTGGCCACTCCCACTCACGTACCATTCGGCCCCTAGCCACATAAATGCACTTGGCCGCCAACATTCAAATCCACCTTTGAATGATTACCACTACCACCAAAATCTATAACGGGGCCGCCGCACCGAGCTTAGGCTCTCAAGCCTTGTAGTAAGCCCGAACTCCCCTACCCATCGCGAGTTAGAGTCACCAGGGTGACCAGGCATAAATCGTCAAGCGCCACCGTATGTTTTTTCCGAAACTTTTTTGACTCGGTAGGTGAGTTGCCTATGTGCCCACTAGCAGCTTTCGGCAATGGGCGTCTGAATTAGCG